TGTTGAAAATCACAGAAAAACACAATGAAACTTTGGCGAATCAAAAAAATACTTGGCGTGCATATGTATGGCATTGAGATATACATTTGCACCAATTTGGAAAAAAATTGGACAGAGCATATCAAAGTTATAGGAGGCAAAAGACGGACGAACATACGGAAGGACGGACGGACGGACAGAACCCAATCTATAAGCCTTCGGCAGACTTCGTCTGCGAAGGCTAACAAATCTGAGAGAACCACATGCAGTACCTATATATGTAATATCAAAGCAATTGGACTTGCGGTTTTTAACAAGAAGTCAAAAATATCACTTTTTACCAAAAATGACAAAAATATTAACCCAAATTAGAGAATTGAAGATTTGATCATAAAATGAACAAATCTGAGAGAGGTCCACATGTACTGTAAAACCTGCATTACAAGCCGCGGCTTCTATTAAAATGGTACAATGCAACAGGATAGGATGAGGCTTCTATTAGACACGTACGAGAAACAATGAATTTTTGGTTCTCAAATGTTTAAAAAGAATAGGTGCGACTTAAAGATGCGGCTTCTAATACAGATTTTACGGTAGTACAAACCATGTACCTATATATGTAATATCAAAGCAATTGGACTTGCGGTCTTTTAACAAGAAGTCAAAAATATCACTTTTTACCAAAAATTACAAAGATATCATTACAAAATGAACAAATCTGAGAGAGGTCTACATGTAGTACCTATATATGTAATATCAAAGCAATTGCACTTGCGGTTTTTAACAAGAAGTAGAAAATATCACTTTTTACCAAAAATTACAAAGATATCATTACAAAATGAACAAATCTGAGAGAGGTCTACATGTAGTACCTATATAATATCAAAGCAATTGGATTTGCAGTTTTTAACAAGGCTCGACCAAGTCAACAGCGGAGCTAAAAAGTTGTGGCCATTTTGTCAGTATTTTAATCCTTTTATCACAGGTTTCTATGGCAGGGATATTATGCCATGGACTGGTGACATAGATCAGCATTTTGATTTGAGCTGTAACAATAAAATTCATTTTTTGTCTGAATAAAATCTTATAAATTCACATTTAACTATTCGATTTGGCTTGTGCCTTCTAGGCAATATGCAAGATGTTGCAGTGACCAGAAAGTCTAGTATTTTTATGTAAATCATTATGTCTTGTATATCGTCTATGCATATTAACAACATCATGCAAAACGATGTGTTTGGATCATATCAGGAACTACCGAGTAGAGAAAAGTGTACAATATATGTACAAATCAGTTTTAGCTCCAGCAGAGCATTTTACGAAGGACACAGCATAAGTACATTAAACTCAATTACAACAGGTGACTGCAAGATCTTGTGAGTTGCGTGAAAGATGCGTGCCGACCGTTTGCCGCAAAAATAGAACGATTTGGTTTTGAACTTGAATTTCTTTTATTTCGTAGCACGCATTGAATAGCCAATCTTTGACAGGGAAATATTGTGTTTGAATACCTTTACTTCATTGAAATTGACCATCATCAAATGTGTATAGCACAATGTGTATTAGGCATGGAAATATGCTCCAAAATACTTTTACATTTGTCGCAATCCCACATAATGTTTGTCGCCACTACGACAGTCTGACCTTTGTTTGGCCTGTTTTTACATTCAATTTCATGCATAACGTGGGATCTTGCAGTGACTAGAAAATGGTCTATTGAAATTGACACAATGCAAAAAACCGTCACTCAACATGTGTTCATAGTAAAGTGCAAACAAATATGATTATGACAATAAATACAAAAGTGAGTTTCAATATTTTTTACTGACCTTTGAACCTTGTGATCAAGGCTGGTGATACTACTTTATAGAATTCTGGCAGCATCTCAGCTCGACAGGCAAAGATAGCATCCAAACATTTAGCTGAGGCACGCCGTACTTTCCAACTCATATCGTCATCATCACTGTACTCGTCATCACTTTCACTAAAAAGTTAACAAATATCAAGAATGAAAAGACTAATCCCTGCTCATCTATGAGTAGAGATTAGTTTAGATGAGGTGGCAGTATTTGCTAACAAAACTCAGAGCTATATTGAAACAAGATAAATTCTTTGCATACACAGAGTTTAATGTTTTTTTTCTCAAATAGAAATTTACTGGATGATTAGAAAGATGTGTTTAGAAAAGGGTAATTCATGAAAAATTATGAAGAAATGGAACATTGCCATGACAACATACCCTTCTTCTTCTTCATCATCTGCATCCATTGTGTCTTCATCTTCATCGCTCTCATAATTATAATTTGGATCATAGCAAATATACTCCAGACACAACTCAATGATCTAAGATAACAAATCACACAGGATGTTTTTAAAAAAAGTAAATCACTAAATGCTATTACTAAATGTGTACACGCAGAGTGTGACACAGTTCCTGTGTGAAAGTTTAATACAATAACCATATTTTCTCTAAAATACTGATATATGAAGTACACAAAAACCAAAACTCATTTACTGTATACTTGTTCATTAAAATACACGTTTATTTTGCCATGTAATTTAGGTAGGTGCTACAAATATGGTAGTTGTATCAATAATGAACGTACCCTAATCAAATATGTGATGTGAAAATAAGCAAAAATTATCAGCTTACTGTAGACACATGTGGAGCCACTTCTTTGGGACATCTTCTAACAAACGATTCAAAAGCCTGCAAAGAAAATATTTGGAAATATAGACAAAATTATCGGATGGTCATTACACTAGTCACTTGCTAAATAATTACCATACCGGGGGTATATGCTATGTTGAAAGCATATTTTGAATTGAAGTTTATGCAAATTAACAGTTGCATTTATTGTACGCTTGATCATAAAAATATGCCTTTACACCCCAGACACACCTCTGCCATTTACGTAAGCGCATAGAGGAACTAGATTTA